AAGATACACCGAACTGAATTATAAGGGCTAATTAAAATGTAAGATTAAATTGACTCCATGTTTTATCTCTGCATCTCCTTACCACATCATAGGAAATTTTAAAGGAGATCATTCCCCAGTGGCCTGAAACTACTGCAGAAATTAAAGAATTCATGGCTCCAGTGAGACATGAAAAAGCCTGTTTCTCTCTCTGGGTGGTCTTTTTAATGCTTCTCCCTCCTGTGACTTCACCCTGACCTAATCAGCCAACTTTTAAACAAGCAAAAGCCACTTACCAGCCACTGACAGAGGCATGTCTTCAGATTTTTACACATTCCCCTGTAATGTCCATTTACCCTGAGACTGGAGGGAGTGGCCAAGCTTCCTACTATGCCTGAACTAGGATCCATACATACATGCTTGGAAGCTAACAGTTTGGTGTTGGAGAGAGGCAAGCTGCCTTCCTGTGTCCAAAATAGGAGTGGTGCAGTTCTCCCTATCCCTGACTCAGCCCGACCCAAAACCATGCCCTCACCACCCCTGTGCATTCCTACAAAAGTTCTTTCTGCTTCTCTGCAATCTGTGACACTTGGAGCACACACCAAGGATCTTGAATGGCTGCCCAAAGATTGTTATAATTACTTAATTCAGCTAAACATTACTAAGAGGTCAAGTGGAGCTTTTCCACAAGCTTGAAGCTTCTTCATGCTTCATTTTTTTCTTAGGCTAATAGATGTCATCATAAAGCAGTGTTTATGATAAAGCACAGCCAACAACCTGTGCCTCTCCTGGAATAGCTTTGGTGTTTCTCTGCAGGTTATTCTAGTTCTTCACAGCTTCTGCACTCTAACACTGTATTGCTTGGATCTACTAATAACACCTGCAATCTCAGCAAATGTATCAGCATATAAATCTTTACCTTCTTAGAGCAGAGACATTTTTTAATATTTGTTTCTGATGTACATTTTGGATGCTTTTCCCAGCAAAATTAGTATATAAACTTCAATTCAGAAAGAGATTAAAAAAATCAGTATTTTTACTAATTTAATGGCTCCCACAATTCTTTTCAAATACATGCACTACTGACTTTGAAAAGGAATTGGAATATGACAAAGATAAATTACAGCTGTCATCCTGCTTCTGCAATGTGACCTCTTCGGGCACACATCCCTGAGTGGAGGCAAACATCCTGAATTCCTAAGTTCTGTGCAAATGGAGGTGGGTGCTTCTACCCTGTGCACTACAGATCACAGCAAAGGATATGACTGACAACTTCTAGAGCTCCTTGGGCACATGAGAAAAAAAGTTATTTGTTTTTTATTAACATAGGCCAATGGATCCCAGCATTCTGAGAGTACACATAAAAGATATATATATATTTTATTATTCAATTAATTTTCTACTTCACAACATGCACTGCAGTAGGATGTCAGCTAGTAATTTTGCATGCTTCATGTCCCCTTGGTTAACACATTTAAATATAAGGAATGAAAGCCATTTCTACAAAATGAGAAATGGCAGCCTGGTAAAGAATGATTAGGAAAACATCTAGGAAACACACTGTAAAAATAACTCGCCCTGAAAGCCCAGATTGCTCTGGCATGACTGCAGCTTTAGAAAGTATACACATGGTGACTGCTCAAGGAAGAACGGCTGGAAAGCTGCTCGTTGGAAAAGGACCTAGGGGTGTTAACTGATGGTTGCTGAATATGAGCCAGTTTGTGCCCCAGTGGCCCAAGAAGGCCAAGAGCATCCTGGCCTGTATCAGCAATAGCGTAGCCAGCAGGGCCAGGGCAATGATCATCCATCTCCCTGTGCTCAGCACTGGTGAGGCCGCACCTTGAATCCTGTGTTTAATTCTGGGCCCCTCACTACAAGAAAGACATTGAGGTGCTGGAGCAGGTCCAGAAAAGGGCAATGCAGCTGGTGAAGGGTCTGGAGCACAAGTATGAGGGTTATTCAGCCTGGAAAAAAGGAGGCTCAGGGGGGACCTTATCACTTTCTACAACTACCTGAAAGGAGGTTGTAGTAAGGTGGGTGTTGGTCTCTTTTCCCAGGTAATAAGCAATAGGACAAGAGGAAATCGCCCTGAAGTTGTGCCAGGGAGGTTCAGAGGAAAAATGTCTTCACTGAAAGGGTTGCCAAGCATTGGAACAGGCTGTCCAGGGAAGAGGGTGAGTCACCATCTCTGCAGGTATTCAAAATATGTGCAGTTGTGGCTCTCAGGGACACACTTTAGTGGTGGACTTGGCAGTGTTAGGCTAAGGGTTGGACTTAATGATCTTCAAGGTCTTTTCCAACACAAATAATTCAGTTCTATTCCATGCAAAGCAAAGCGAACTCCTGTTTTGCATGACTCTGCTTCTCTAGTACCTTGGTGATATCCTCTAAAACGGCTTAATAATCCCTACAGATCTTGAAAGCTCTCAAGCAGGTTAAATGCAAGGCAAATAGACGAGACTCATTTTGTCCCAATGTTGACCTTGAAGCAAAGCATGCCTTCTAACTCCTGCCTGTCTGGCAGCTTGATATATGCAGGGAAAGCGAAGAATAAAGCATTCTTTATCCCTTCTTGCAAACAAAAGCTTGGTTTCAAAGGCATAAAATGCCAAATGAGAAATGAGCTTGGCTACTGGACTAATGCCCAGGATGGCTGCACCTTCAAAAATTCACTATTTCCAGTAATGGCTCATGCTACAATGGTGTGTAGAAAGCCTCATCCCTTTCCTTGGGAAGGACCAAGTGTTGTCACCCAAGTAGGGTTCTTCAGTCTTCAAGCTGATCTTTGAGCCTTTCACAGACCTGAAGCTGCCCTAAGCCTGCAGTCAATGGTCTACCTGTCCCTGAGCATCCATCCTTCTCCCCACTGTGCTGAGCTGCCTATAGCAAGCTGCTGTCTAAGGTCTTTAGTGTCAGCCAAGAAAACACCACACCAATACTTTGACCCTCATACTTTCAGCTTCTGGGGTATTGCATGGCTTTCATGTGAGCCGGCAGAAAAGCTGTGGCAAACAGGAAGAAACATACTCCACAGACAATCTGAGTTCAGCTCAAGTCACTAGAGGTGGTTTATAAAGGAAGAGTTCTAAATAAAATCAAGTAATACTAAAATGCTTTCACAATTCTGTAATATTTATAATGTGTATTTATTTCAACCACATTCTTGAAATTTCTGCAAAATCAATACTTGACACTCCAGTTCCTAATTAAATCAGTTACAAAGACAGAAATATATCACCCTAGAATTAAGGAAAAGAGCAACTATTCAACACTATTCACTGTTAGCTGTAATACCACAAATTTTGAAACTAAAGACTAAAACTCTCAAATGTTTAATTTATCAGAAACCACTAGGAAATGCTAAACCAATAGTAAGCAATGTTGATGTACTTCAATGGTGTCTCATTTAAAGGTCAGTCTTTTCACTCTCTACAGCTACTAGTTAAACCAAGTGTCCTCTCAATAAAATGAAAAATATGTTTTCCAAGTTCGCAAGGAACAGCCAAAAAGGAAGCTGCAAATACTTTTACACATCTCATATAATTTTTATGTATTTTCACAGATTTGTATTGGAAGAAAAATGCAGAGAGATTTCATCCCATTACTACACTACAGAAGAAACACGTTACCAATGTGGCAAGGATGTACCGTATGCATAGAGCATGGGATGTTTGGATGAAAAAGAGGTAATGATGTTCATCTTTTTCTCATGTACTAATGTTGTGTCCCATCTCTGAAAAGAACAGTTTTATCAAGAAACATCCCTTTATGTGGCTACTTTTGGATTTTGCATTTTGGCGGAAAGATCATTTATCAAAGATATTAAGTCCTATTCTATGAGTTTTATTTTTATAGATAACATATTAGAAATGGAATTCTCATGGAATCAGAATAGAGAACACACAAGATGGGAATTTTAACTCTTCTTGTTTTCATGTAACAGAATCATGCCCACAGTTAAGTCAATGTCTCAAGTGAAATTCCAATTGCTCAAAAACCACCAAAAAAACCCAACACCCCAAACAAAAAAAAAACCCAACCCCAACAACAACAAAAATAACCCGGGAGCAACAGCCTCCCTCCCCCAATTTTATTATTTTTTACTGCACTGTCTACCCAAGCCATACGTTCAGAGGACATGCACTGGCATTACCACATAAACCAAAAAGCTGGAAAGATAGGCAACGTCTTGCAAAGATCTACAGAAAATTCACACTCCTACAAACATTTGTTTCAATTTAAGTGTAAGGATTCTAACCTAGTGGCACAGATGGCATGGTTCCTGAATACAATTTCCAAATTAAACTTACCACTTGGGCAATAACCATCTGCAGTCAGCTTTAACCTTTGTGTCCTGGCTAAATGCTAATTGGCATCACTCACGCCTTCCAAAAATTCCTTCCCAGTTTCATCCAAATTCAATTTTCTTCACATTCCATGCTATAAGTGTCTCTAGTCTTGCTGCATACTTTTAAACGGCTGCCAGGAGGGACTACACTCCCATGATACAGAGCACAATCCATTTGCATGGTTTATAAATATTTCCATATCCTGGGGAATGGGGACTATTTTGTCAGAACAAAATTAAATTGGTTAAATTGGTGAAGAGTTGTTCCAGGTACAAAATTAATGCACTCAGTGGAGTTGTTCAGTCTTATATTAGTAACCAGCTATACAGAGCTAAAACATCTGCAAGTGTGCTTAGTTTAAAGACCTAAGTTACCAGCTCATGCATGTTGGGTGGGAATGTTGTAAACCAAAATCAGCTTGGAGGCAAAGGCATGCAATAGCATCCTGGCTTTTCACAAACATACTCTATGTAACTATTAGGTAGCAAAGAGAGGACAGGGAAAAAAACCCCCCAAACTTCTGAATTTACTTCCAATGCCAGAAGGGGGAGGGGGTGGGGGGAAGCAGGGAAATACATTGCATTGTTTATATGTAAAGAGGGGGGAAAACATTTTCTATATTACAATTAATAAAAATCAATGAAAAAGACTTCAATTGAAAAAATGCCTTACCTTGAGAAGTTGAGGAAATGAACATGTCTAGTGAATAAATAGGGCTGCTCAGCAGTGCTTATGTTTTTAATCAATTCCATCTAAAAAGAATTAACAAATCACATTTTCCATGTTACATCAACGTACATTTCGAGACAGATATAACTACACAAACAACATACGATCATGTTATTTTCAAGTCTGAATTACTCAGGAACCCTTCCCCACTATCCCTCCCAAACACTGCCATCAAGATAGCACGATTTACGATTTCATGTCTAAGCAAGAAAGTTTAAGCTGCATCCTGCTATCACTGAACTTACGTACTTCCAAAAGCCTGTATCAGTTTAAGGAAAGGCATAAACTAAAGGAAAAATCTAACCTCTGCCTAAATCTGCACCAGAGCTTTGCAAGTGGCAGCTGCCCTTGGAAGACACTGGCTCTGTTCACCAGAATGCCAAAATGTAAAATGTCTGAAATTTTAACAGAAAGTAGGAGCTAAGCCAATGACCAATTTAATATAAGAATAAAAATAGCCAACATGGCCAAAACACTGATTTGCCTGTTTAAATACAGAAATCAGTACTCGCCATTCCTTTTACTATTACAGCAAATTAAGAGTATGGATTAATTGGGCACTTTTAGAAAGATGATGCTAAGTTCTAGTTCAGGCACATTCACTTTTTTTTTTTTTTTAGTAAATTAAATTTTCAGATCGCTAAAATGGAATAATGTCAACAGCATAGACTGAAGACAGTGTACCACGGATATGAGTATCTAGGTTGTGTAAGTTGAGCTCTAACTATCTAGGTCTAAAGGAAATGAAGTGTCTAGTGGAGCACCATGCTAGAGAGTTGAGACATCCTGGTTCATTTTGCTTCCTTATTATTAATTTACTAAGATTTATATTCAGATTTTCTGTTCTGTGCTCAAATGCATGCTATGCTATGGACATTGAACCCAAATGCATTTGAAATGATAGGTTTATTGATTTTTGCAAACTGGGTAGTAGAAAATAATACAGAAAGGAACACAATTTTATAAATGGGGGGGGGGGGGGGGGGGGAGAGAAAAAAAACCAAAAGTTGTAAAAGGGGGGGGGGGGAGGGGAGGAAGAGAAAATAAACCAAACATTCTGGTTTGAGCCATCTCAATTGATGTACTAAATTTAAACACCATTAAGGAGACTTTAAAAGAAAACAAAAAAAATCTATTTCTTAGAACTTGAATCCTACACCTGACACAGACAAAATAAGTCTGTTATGAGGCCAAGATAAACTGACTGACATGTGATGCGTTACTGCATTAAAATCCCGAAGAACATTGTAGAAAATAATGTCCATGCCATAACAGACGTTAAACTACATTTAAGGGACAGCCATTGTCATTTTTTTTCCTTCTATTTCCCAGTTTTGATATACTGATATTTTGCCATGGTTTTTACATTGTGTGTCACATCTTACTGCTTCTCATCCATCTTTTATTCTCCATTTTTTCCTAGGACACATAACCTGCATTCTTCTTTCAGACTACACAAGCTATAGCTATTTAACTTCTAGAACCAAAAAAAACAGTGCAGAAACTAATATGCTTTTAGCTACTTTTCCTCTGCCTTAAGCAATTTTATACAGAAGCAAACAGTTCAGTTTGTCTGTCTTCTCGAGATAGGCCTTTTCCTGTCAAACTAGTTCAAGTACATCATCAAGGCATGTCACGTACACACTCTTTATATCGAGGCATATTAGGTCTGAGGAAGTATATCAAGGTGTATTGGTATCTGAAGGTATATTAGGTCTGAGGGGCTGTAAACCCAAGGGAATGGAACTTAAAGACCACCAAAAGAAAGACAATGTGAAAAGAGAAACAAGAGAAAACAGAGAGATGTATGCTTTAAAAAAAGTGGCAAGAAGGGAATAGCCTCCCTGCTTTAGTTAGTCATATACAGACAGACCCTGGACTGGTTGATTCAATTACGAACAGGTCTTTATATGGCTCCTTCAGTACAACGTCAGTGCTGTGAACAAGAAATTAATAAACCTGAAGAGCAGAGCTTGCCCAGACCAGAATTAGAAAGCCCAGGAAACTTTGTAATAATTGGCACAAGTAGTTGACCATTGTTCGTTAATTCTCTAATGAGATGAAGGCTTTCCTAGCAAACCAAACAAGCCAACGTTTCTTTAGGACTGGTAACTCTCTCCACCAAAAAAATATATTCATTCACCTTGCAGAATGAAACAAGGGGAGACTCTAGAGACTGGGTATCAGATGTCTCAATTGGCTTCTTTCTTTGTTTTTACTCAGACAATGAAAGAGAAGTGAAATTCTCAGAACTGTATGAAGCTTTGTGTTATATTGGCATTTTACCTGTGTTTATCTGCATGAAGGAAGGAAGATGACAGAAAAGTTATTGATATGGAATAACAACTCTATTCATGCCATTACAGTCACCACTGTAATCGCATCTTGGAATAAATGAAAAAACATCATTAGAGTATAAATATGGAGATGTAAAGATAGTATACGTATACAGAGAAATCCCACTGAGTATAAAAATACAGGCAGCTTTAATATAATACCACTGGATAAACATGTAAGGGTGGGGAGTATATGTGAGTGTTACAAAGTACCATGCAAGCCTCCCTCGCTCCTCATGTCTCCCTGGGGCTGATACCAGTTTGCTAGCACCAGGCCGATTCACATCACACCATTACCATGTTTCCCATCGCACTTTACCATTGCTGATGTCAGTGTCAGCTTGTGTCAACCCGTTTTTGGACTAGCACAGGCACTCCTGCCTCAGGAGCAAAGGAAGTCTGGAAAGATGCACAGAGAGCAGGATAGCATCTGGCTCCTGGCTTTTTTTAAATCCCTTGCTACCAAACTTGATCTCCTGAGCTATGATAATAGCTTACACCAAAGCACGCACAGAATTCTGTTTTGACTTAAAAGCACCTTCATATTTAGACACTTAATGATGAACTGGACTTGCAAGCAGATGTGGATAAAGTTACAATGTGCATATAAACAAACAAGCAAAACCCCTCTTTTTAAAAACCCTGCCAAAAGGGTAAGTAAGGCTGAACAGAAACAACACACAGATGTCAGGAGGGAAAAATAAATAACTGCAATGGCTCATGGACACATGCAAGTTGTAGCCATATTTCCCATAGGCCTACCTCTCTGATCGAACTGTGCTGAACTGATTCCAGTCTAACAAGCCAAACATTGATCCGTGCCTCCTTTTAAGATGACATTAAAGAAAAATAATAAAAAAAAAAAAATCAATATAAATTTTTAGAGGTCTCCCAGAAGAGTAAGGTCTCCAGTGGGTTTTTTTGCTATTGGTTTGCAGGTTTGGTTCTTGGGTTTTACAAGATGTAGAGTAACAACACAGAGGAAGACTGAGCAGAGGATAACACCTGAGGAAAGCAAGCACCTTTGGAGGGAATGAGTAATGAAGGAGACAGACATACAAGCGTGAATGATTTGGGAGATTGTCTTAACCAATTTAAGTTTTGAAAAGACATGAAAAGGCACAAGCAGCAGAAGAAAAACTACCCTGGCAAATACTGTTAGGAAAGAGATGAACCAGAACACACCCATGTTTGGAGGGAGTAGCTGTAGAAATATCTGCAGGAAGCTTGAAAGGAGCACATGCTCACTAGGATAAGGGTCCATAAAGAGCCATTCCTCTTTCTTGTTGCTGCCCTGAGCTCTCCTGCAGAAATCAGGCTGCTGCAATGAAATAGCACCAGAGAGTTCATGCTGTTAAACAAGGATCCAAGGAGAGGGAAATGCCAAGACACAAAGAGTGGAGAGGCAGGCAGTGATACCCCATGCCCACATGCTCCCAATCCTATGGCATGGCCCAGCCACATCTGCCCAACTGCTAGGCAAAAGCAAACCAAAAGCACTGGGCACCCTGCATGGCAAGTCTGCAGAGATGAGAAACCACAACAAGCACTTGGAAAAACCTCTGTGGTGTGGTCAACACACATTCGTTGTCATTCCACCCGTCCTTCTTAAATACCAATTTATTGTGAAGAGCAGCGTCTTTAGCCTAAATGCTGATTTGCTCCCTAGCATAATATCTTTCTACCACTGTAATGCTTTAAGCTATTGTAAATTTTCCTCCAAAATTCATTTTCTGCACTGACTCTCAAACAGGACTTTTAAAGAAGACCGGACCCATGAAGAGAGGCAATCCTGTGAAGAACAAGCTGGTTTTGGATCTTAAAGCCCACCTGAGCAAGAAAGAGGCAATACTACAAGGAGAAAGATTTTTCCTTAGTCTAGTGTCCTACGCTACCACCGTAGGATCTCAGTTGGCCATGTTTAAGAAATCAAACCGTAATAGCTCAGCATCACCCGTGCGTTTGTTGCTGTACTGCAAATCACAATCCAGCAGATGGCACAGTGAAATGACTGAAGGAGCCTGGACAGGCCCTCCCTGAGAGGGGAGAAACGTGGAGGATGGCTTTGCTCCAGCCACAGCATTGTTCCTGTGTCAAAACTCAGCTCAGGCTTGCGAGAAAGGACACCACCTTTCACTCTTTCACTCTTCTGGAAACAGCCAGCCCCACACTGACTGCTCACAGCAGTCCCGTTTGGTTTGAGGTTTTTATTCTTGTAGGTAAATTCTACTGGGAACAAAAAGAAATAATCTGGTAATAATCCCACCCAGACAACAGCCAAAACATTCCTACTTGTGGTTTGTTTTTTTTTTGTACGTTGCTGGGAGAATTCAAGGTCAAAATGTACAAAAATGGTAAGGCAACTGGAACTTTCCAAGTGAGGTCAGCTGGATCACACTATGGTCTCCACTAACACTGATAAAATAGGACAAAAACAAAAACCAAACTATCTTTGTATCTTTCTTGTGAGTTCTTTACCTTCCTCTACTGTTTTCAGTCTCTACTGAAGGCATGCAGGGTCCAGGAAGCACAAGTATCTACAGGTATTTGGTATATCACTTTCATCTCGGTATCATTTCCATAAACAACTTGCAGGAATGAGACTAAATCTTTGTTTTCAGCTTTCAAAAATTTGGAACAGTTTCAAGAATTTCTGCAGCTCCCCCAGCTGCTATGACCAATTTTGTCTTTAAAAGCACTTAAGAAAAATTAGTGATGGAATTCTAGTGTGTTAAACTGGAATTATACATAAAGGTGGCTGCATGGTCATAAGGATGCATGGTAGAAAGAAACAATATGACGATAAACCATCAATTACTCCGTGATTCATATTGGTATCTCTAGAACATATCTGCATCTATACTCACTCTTAATTCTCCAAATTCAAAAATAGAAGGGGGTGGGGAGGAAGGCAGGCAAGGGGAAGAATTACTCTGCAGCAGTTTGCGTGTCATTTTAAAGCCACATCAATTAGGTTAACTCTGTATACATGAATAACGCACATTATTTTCTGTATTTAGTTTACTTGGAAATATTATAGCAAATGGTAAGGCACAGATTAACTGATCTGTTTCCAGAACTCACTCCCTTATGCCCACAGATGTTCAAATGCTGCACTTACAATTGCTGGCAGGCACACATAATTTGGGAAAATGTCTTGGTAGGAAGAAGATTGGGAAAGGCAATGAAAATATGGATTCCAGTTATGTGCAATCTTCATAGTCATTAAGAACACCTACATGCTTAAATTTATTTAACAACAGCAGACTACATAAGCTAAACATTTACATAAAAGTCTTGGCTGGATCAGGGCTTTAACCAAACACAGGACAGACAAATTACAGAAGGAAGAGAGACATATCATCTTCAGTGAGAAGCTCATGCTCATGCTGGAGGCCTACAGCCCAGCCCAGCTCTCTTTTCTCTCATTCCAATGCCTGGAGCCTGAGACCATCCATTCTCTTAACTTCCTCTTGTGTACACCACATTAAAGGTGGGAGAAATAATTTATTTTTTCATATTCTGCTCATAAAAAATGAGAAGACAACTAAAAACACCCTGAACAACGGAGCCGTTACTGTCTCCAGGCATGTTTCCTGGCGATCAAAGGCACTTTTCAGCAAAACTGCTCATTAAATTATGAACCTATTGTAACTATGTAAATAAGCCATAAATTAAGAGACTCAGGTTAAAGTAGGGCAATCTAGAGAGTACATCATTAGCTCAGTATCGATTTATCCAGTATCATCTGTGTTCCAGCACATTTGCGGTCTAGTAACCTAACAGCTTCTGGCACACAAAAAGTAATGCAGATATTTATCCTCTGTCAGTGTACTGGTTGCATCAAAAATAAGCCTGGGCCTCTCCAGAATCTCCACATGCTGGACTAAAGCACAGAAGACTGTCGGGATGTGTTGTTTTATCATGTTTAACAAAGGACAATCCACCTACCAGAGAAAGGCAGAAGTAAAATGATGTAGCTGATGAGGGCGAACGCTGGTGATTATTAATACTTGTAAGGTTTTTAGGTTTTATGATGTGTCGCCAAATCAGCAATGAAACTTGATGAAAGACAGTAGTTAAACAAAACCCAAACAACCCAAAACACAAAAGCAGTCATACCCACTGAAATCTCCTATCCCTTATCCTACAGTTAAGCAGAAAAAATAACCAGGCAGGCTCAGTAGCACAGGATAGTTTGACCCTGACCTAATGGGATCATTGGGCAAATTCTCAAGGCTCTGTGATGCTGACAGTAGGATACACAGAGGGATGCTGCAGTAACTGCAGCCCAGGCCTTCCCTTGGCCGCAAGCAGGGGCACTGGGGGGACACTGTCCTCCCCCCCAGCCCTTCCAGGGGGTGTTGCACCCAGCCATGAACAGAAGCCTTTGGGCTGGTGTGGCAGCCCTGGCTAGCTGGTCCCCACCTTGGGCTGAACTTAAGTGTCATGTAGGGTTAGGTGAGCCAGCTGCTGGTGAGACACCAATAGCCATCTTGGAAGGGAGGAAGGTGGGACCTGCAGAACAAATATCTGCTTCCAAATTTCCAGTTGAAATGAACCGCTGCATCTAAAATAACAAACTTCTGCTCATAAACAGGCTACAACTAAATCACTCCAAATCACAGCAGAATGCCACTGGCAGCCGCAGGTCTGTATTCTGATCATCACACACATCCTTTTGTGGTTTGTTGGCTGATATTCCTAGGAGTGATGCAGGTAGTTATTGCGGCCTTTACCTGATCTGTACATCAAAATAGCAGCTGTGGGCAATTTGTGTGCAACAGTCATGTCTATAGCACCTGACTGTGTCCATACACTTCAAAGCCTGAGGTTTTTTGTATTACTTGCATCAGCACCTGCTGATGGCAGCGATACTCACAGAGGGCATGCAGTTACCCTAAATACAAGGGAATTTAAATAACTGGATCTTTCATGGAATCAAAGCTGCAAAAATAATGCCTTCTATAACTTTAAAGGAACATGAAAAGGGGTGTCTGGGTAAAGAGGTTTCATGTGGTATTTTCATGCGCTTCAGTGAGGGCTGTGTGATAACACGAAAAGGCTGATAACATGAAAAAGGCGATAACATGAGCAAGAGGCTAAGATAGGATCAAGGATGTGTCAAATTATAGCAACATGAGTTAGTATAGCACGGGTGAACAACTTTTTGAAGAAAATGTTTATTAGAAAATTCTAAATTAAGAAAGTGAGTAAAAAAAACCAAACCCAAACAACTGTTGGCTATTATTTACTCCTGCTCTGCTTAAAGAGACCCAAGTTAGGTCTAAATAAGCTGGCCTGCTTATATGATAAATGGTTGTGCCCTAAAGATACATTAATACAGATCCCAGAAGCTGTTAGCACCTAACTTCTCTTGTACTAATCCTTCTTGCCTCACTGCTGGGCTAACTGCTGTGCTGACTAAATTCAAGAGCTGGCTCAATGGAAGTTAGTTTTTCTGGTTAGCTTCCACATCATGTTGCTCTTGGCTCTATCATCCATGTTGCCTATTAACTGAAGCCACTCAGAGGATGATGAATTCTGGCTGATTATTCAGGTCAAAGAAGCAGTACACATTTTCAATACGACTTCTGCTAGCATATGCCTTTGTCTCTCAGTTTCACAAACATACTAAGAAAACAGGATCTAAGATGAAGTTACCTGTTCATTTTTGGTCAGTCTTGTCTTGTTATGGATGTCAGAAGTAACCAGGTTGAATCCATGTTTCTCTGATAAAATTCTCAAAAGCAAAACCACAGTTCGACTCCCACACTTTCCAACTCTGTTGTAGACCACCTGGCTGGGGAAAGGAAGTACCTAAATAAAGATTGAAAAAACATGGAGTCAGTATATTGGTATTTTTGTTTCTGTGTACCTCTGAATCACAGCATGATTTGACTGTAAGCCAACAAATACATACAGGAGAATTTCTAGGGCTCTGACCAGGTCAGAAGTATTCACTTCCACCAGCAAGCTAGAAGCTCTTTAGTATAGAAACACATGCCTCAGAGTGTGGCAAACTGAGATTTCCCCCTCATAATCCAGTTTAACCCAACATTGCAGATTGGTAACTACTCCAGAAACATTAAGCCACCGCTGATGTCTTCTAGAGAAGACGATGATGGGCTTAAGCTTGCTGCTTGGTAACCTCAGTACAAAGTCACCTTCAGTTGACTGCCTCCCATTCAAAGAACAAAGAGGAGTGACTTTTCACTACAGTTCGGCAACTCAAAGTGAAGCTGACATAATGCAAGAGGAATGCTTTAATTGCAAAACTTCAGCTTAAAAAGAAAAAAAATAAAACCCAGCAACAACCACCAGTTGCACAGAGCTAAGATTAATCAACTGTTTCAACTTCAAATATAAACACCAATCTTCCAAAGAAACTCAAGAACAAATCATGGCACTGGCTAGTCATGTACTTACAGAATAAACAATGCTTGGGACACAGGCAGCCTGGAGGTCAACTGGCAGAGTCTGATCACCTCTGTAAAGGTAATGTTCACTAAACCTCAAAACAAAACAGCCACATCCAACCTGCCCACTGGGAATGGCCTCCAGCCCATGCTTACTCTTGCACCATGGTCTCCTCCATGGGAAACCACAAGTGAGCAGTAATTCACTGTCTTGAAGTACACTAGATGCAACTTTGGTTTGTTTCTGGATGATATTCATGGGCTATTGCTTCAGTAAAAGGCATTCTGAAGTCACACTATTGCACTAGACAGTGTATAGCATACAGCAGCAGCATCTGATAATATAGGCCAAGAGGCATCTTTTTTCAAGCCTTTTCAATTGGCTTACATAGTCAGGAGCTCAGTTTCATCCACAGCGGTGCATATATCACACTCTCTTATGGAAAGCTCATTTCTCTAGTAAGAGGACGGCACAAAATGTTTCCTGACACAGGGCGTGCATCCAGGTTCCAGGCGACATATGCTCAGTGCAAAAAACCCTCACACACCAGTGATAGTGTGTCTCAACCTATAGTTACTTCTGCTGTTGATGCAATCACATTCTCCAAGCAGGAGGATTTCTAACATAAAAGCAGTCATACAAAGCATATGGGCTTCTGGCACTTCTTATGGTATTTGAAAAGCTAATAGATCTTTATTAGAGAAGAAAAATGGTTCCTCAGGAAACCTTTCAGATTACTTTCCAAGAGGATTGCAAACTAGAATTAAAAAAAATCATAAATAAAAGGAAAATCTGAATTCCTCTCTATATAATGGTAACATACTTGCACTTTGCTATTGATGTTACACTTCATGACAATAAGAACATTACTATCGTTACTGTTGCGGTGTTTAGGATACTCTTCACTGCAACATAAACATGGAAACTGTCATTCTTCAAGTTACCTGGGGAAGGGGTAGGTATTTGGTGATCATGGCCTTCATTAAGCTTTCCAAGTTTCATTACATCTGCTGATTCAGCAACTAAACATGAGCCTCCCAAGGCTCATACAGAACCCACATAACACACCAAGTCTCAGTATTTCATTTTGGGTTTCTTTGTTTTGTAATTTTTGTTATTGTTACTTAGCCCCCTTATTCCTTATCAATCGTTCCTTCAGAAGCCTTCATTCCTATGAAATGCAAAATCCCAGCCTCAATGACGAGAAAACTCCAAAGGTGATGAATTTAACACATCTCTGCTACAACTGTAGCTAACCTTTTCCAACACAACGGCTAATGATGTCTGAAAGGTTAACATCTGAACACATTATATTATGTTGATTGTAACACCAGGGACAGCATCATGAAAAGTTTTCCTTACTCAAGAACACACACAAGCCATATTCTAGATGGTCCGCTTTTTGATTCATTTCTTCACACAACAAAAACCAGTATTTGCCACAGCCATGCAGCACTACCCACACAACCACCTTGTAACTTGTGGAATGGATGGCAGTTTCTCCTCTGCTCAGACGTACACTTCTGGCATACCATGCTGTGCAAATATGTGAAAGTCTTCAAGAGAAATGCTAAGTAGATGCTGACAAGTGTCAGTGAAGGAGCAAGAGCACACACAGCATGTGTTTGCCTAGCATCCTGGAAATGTGATAAATGATGAGAGGTTTAGAGCTATGGAAACATTTTAAAATGCTCCATTAACTCCTTGGATTTTCATAACAGTGTTGCACTTTGCCATATATCAAGCAAAATTTTGTCCTCACTGGTACTTCATTCACATGGAATTTTGCTGCATGCAGATCACATCCCAGTGCTAATTAAATCCCTGACTTGATTAGCCAGTAACTTTGGGTGAATCTTAATAATATCATTCTTTAAAATGAAATTAAAGTAGGCATTTATAAGGTCTCTTTTCCACATGCAAGCAACTAACTTTACCAGCTAAAAAAATGACAGTTGCCACCAAGTTCGGCCAGTTCTCACCTTTCTTTTTGAAACTCACCCTCCTATGTAGCACAATTCTGTTTTGCACACTGACAATAACCATGGCAACCCCCAAAAAGAAACTGTAAGCAAATACTCACTGCAGTTATACAAAACTGAAATAAAGGGCTATTATTTTCAGACAACTGTTTAGCTTAAAGGAGACAAATATGTTAACGCCTTAATTCAGTAAATGTCTGAATGCACCTAGGTAAAAATCAGACAGGATTCAAGATAAATAAATGCAACAGCTCAAAGTTCACTTCAGAAGAACATAGTCATTAACAGTAATCAAAACTTCACAGATAGCACTGCCGAATGTGACTGGCTTTAAGGATGTGCTGCTGAAGCTTTGCTCATGTTTCTTCTGTATACATCACCTTTCCACTTCCACACCTGAGTGCACCAGAGGGTATGCCCAGTACACAAAGCCACTCAGTACGCAGGCTTTTGGGACATAAGCAAGTAACCGTTTAATGTGACCAGTTCCCTCAGGATGCTGCAGACCTTTTTTCTGCATTTTAGAAAATGTCTAATTTTCTAAAATGTCTAAATTTGATGAAGAAATATTTCTTCCTGGATCCTGAGTTTGTATCGGGCAGATTTAGAAACGCAAGAAATTGAAAACTTTTTTAGAGGAACTTCTTTCTTGTTCCCCCCTCACAATACTCACAACAGACTCAGACAATAGAAGAGATGGTGACAGAGAAGGTGCTTGAAAAGGAGGCTCCTATTATATTAGCAGAAGCAAGATGGAAAACAGCAACTGGAGATTTACAAAACACTAACTGGATTACATTTTATTTTACAGTAAGAGTACGTATCATGTAGACTGACTGCTGAGGTGATGCTCTGGCAATGTGATATTCATGTAACAATATACACAACTTGAAAATAACTACAGTGACTTTACTGGGCACTGCATCAGATTCCAGAGGTAATATAAACAATTCAAACATGTAATTCACTTTGGAGTTATATGAATTAGTACTTACAGCTATAAAAAAGCAAAATCCACAGTATAATTACAACAGTCCTCTCCAAGGGTTTGGAAAGTTATGTAACAATTTACTTGTCAGTTCAAACTGAGCTTTTTTTTTCTTTTGTTCCACAGTCACAGATGTCAACAGCCATTGTGAATGAAATCAAGAAGAGAAAGCAAGTTTAACTCAAAATGAATGTGCATTACAGATGATGACTGACAAGTAGCTCTGCCAGTTTCATGGAGTCATTTCCCAGATAGCCTGACAAAGGCTTCCATCTTCAGTGGTGGCTTTGTCTTCAGGGAAACCTTTGCACCATTTAAAGAAAAAATAGGCTGGGTAATTACCTGGAGTGTTAACAGTTCAGGGATCCACCCAATGGCCTAAGGCATTCCACTTGTACGGAACCAAATCTTGTATAATTTTGCCAAAACTTTCCCAGCCCAGGTACAAAGAATTCATGTCAGAGACACATGTTCCCAGATGCAATCCATTACTTTCACAACTTCTGCAAGCAAGTGACCCCTGTCCTCACTCATAAGAAGGGTCAGAAGTGGGTGCCAGCACTGGCTTTCCCCTTGTGAGCAGGCACTAACATGTGGTCAGATAGTGCTCCATGTTTATCAGGTGAATGAGGCCAACCAACACACACAAAACTGGTGAGATCATGAAAGCAATGAAACATCTGCTGACGCCACACATCCCTGTATATCACATCTTCCCAATGCCAACTCTCCATCTTTTTCCTGTCCAACTGAGACCGAATTACAAGAATTTCAGAAATTGGTTACTGGGTCAATGCATTGGCCCATCTTGCTCGTGAGTGGTGGAAGACACTCGTTAGGCACTTGCCAACCTGAGCACTGTCAGCAGTCTATTTCTCTCCTGCCTCCTGTTCCAGCGCCCCTAAAGATTGCATACGTGATGTTAGAAGGCACACCCATGCCTGTTGCTTAAAGAATTTCTTACACAATGTGCTATACCAACAAATTCCAGAATTTTGTTACCCACCATGCATTTCATTTTTAGCTCATCTTTCACCAGTTGCAGAGAATATCCATTGTCACACTGTGAGTTTCATGGAGACAGATCAGATAATTCTCTCACCAGTTTTGAGATTTTCTTAGATTTGTTGGATGCCTCTATTTAACTGAGGTTCGTTACAAGCCTGTCATAGCCTATTAAAAGACAAACTATAAGGCCACTAAGAGATAACATATTCCAAACCTAACTTCAAGAATTGCTGCACAAAATTTCATTTCAAACAAATGTCAACTTATTCTTACTCACTTTCAAAGCATTTACAATGAAGAACTGCTAACACAAACATTTGTCAGCAGAAAACACGACTGAAAGATGAAAGAGAGAGAAAACAAAATAAGGTTAGCCTCCTTCTTCCCCAGCTAAACCACACAGATCCAGTTATATCAAGATCCACCTATAAAGTCTAGTGACTCTGGACAGAGACAGGCTTTGGAATCAACCAACTCTTTAGCAGACCAGACAGCATGATCTTCTCTATGGGTCACTGAAAATACACTAGAAACCACAAGAAAGGTAAGGGCGAAGTTCATTTGTTTTCAAAGTTTGAAAGCCTTAAAGCTGCACTGGAGCACTGAAAATAGGGCAGGAGAAGAAACAGAAGATTCTCCTGTTGCATTTTCATTAAGCAACTAATTTTAACTGAAAGAGTATGACTTCCCCCCCCACTCCGCCCCAAGCAACGCATTTCATCTGTTTGGCAGCTGACATTTTTGGAAGAGTAAGTTTAAATGTGTTCTCTAATGAGTCAACATCCCTAAGCACCAAAATAAATTGAAAACATAAGCAAGGAGCACAAGCAGCTAAAGGAGACTGGTTGTAGACATAGTCAAATTTATCAAGGCTAAAGAAAAGCATTACTATGAAGTGTCTGCTAAAGTTAACGGTTCCCCATGTGCCCCACAAAACAGATCTGTGTAGCCAGTACCAAAACTTCCAGTATTTTTTCTGTGAAGAAGCACTGCATCCTTACAGATGTAAAAAGAGTTTGATCCAAAGCATAGTAAAGTCTCCCTGTTTAGTCTCAGATCAGGCCCCATTACAAGATATTATGGTTATACATACAGAAAATTGAAACTACGACAACCTGGGAAAACGACAAAGAAAAGGTCAAAGATGAAATTTTCAAAGTTTTGGCTGCATCCTGTTAAAACATTTTGGTTTGCTCCTTTTATACCTTGCACCTGATTTAGCTTCCTACAACAGCAGCTCACAGCTGAGCAAAGCCTCTGCTTCAGCAATCTGCTGCACAAGATTCCCTGCCAAAGAGTGCAGAAGCAGGTTTATTTCAGGTATGTGAAGTTACAGCAACATTCAAATCCAGCACACCTACACAAAGAGTCAAACACGCTGGTAAAGAGCATGTGCTCTGTTCACTCAGCAGTTCTAGGTGGTCACTGATGTCAGGCAGCCTCTGGAGGTGCAAGCAGGGCTCCTGGCTCTCTCATCACTCCGTAACACCCACTGTACGCAAGCAAAGGCTGCTCTGGCTCCTCTCAGGGATGAAGCAGGTGAAAGGAAATCACCCTACCCAAAAGATCATTGCTTGGGGAAGGGGTACCTGCTAGATTAACCAAATCTTTTTCCTTTCTCCCTCTCTTAACCTAGCATGCCTTTCAACCTCCTAGGCATTTTTCTTGCTTTCCTCTGCAGTTTGCAACCTGTTCACTTCTTCTGGAACCAAAATTAGATACAGAGCTGTATCTAGGACCAAAGAGGATTGAACAGTTATTCTTTGTATCTTGTGGGTATCCCTTTTTAATATATCTCAGGGTGGCATTTAGAAGAATCAAACCGTATGAGACTGTCACTGCTATAGAGAGGGGTGCAGAACAAAGTCATCACTCTCTCCTTTACCCCACATGAGTGTATGCGGATTACAACAGAAATAGAACAGGA